GCCTTATTATTAATTTTTTGTTGGGGGTTTTTTTTTTTTCCACGGGGGGGGGGGGGGGGGGGGGGGGGGCAGGATGATGCCGGCCGAGTACCTGGTGTGCTTGGCGACGTTTTCCTCGATCCAGGCCTGGGGTGTGGAGAAGGGCATGGTCGCGGGGCTGGTGCTCGCCGCGCTCAGCTTCACCGTCACGTACGCGCAGGTGATAAGATGGCATGGGTGGTGGGTTGGTAGGTAGATGCCTTGGGAAGGGCTGGGGCGACGCAGGCACCTAGTCTTTCGCATCTCTTCCTCTCCCTCTCTCTGCCCCTCTCCCTGTCTCTGTCTCTGTCTCTCTCCGTGTATGTTTCTATCTAGCTATCTCTCTATATATTTCCGCTGTCTCTCTCACATATTTGTTCTTGGAGAAACACGTGGCTGTTCAGGGAGACAAGGGGCGCGCACAAAGACAAATAAGACAGGAACTGCACCTAATGCTGTGGCGTTTGTTGTCGGTTTCGTGTTGATCTCGGCCCCTTCCTCTGTGGGTCGTTTTGTCACCCTCCTCTCACCTCACGACCATTCCTCCGTGTGGTGCACAGGAAAAATGCTGTTTGTGATCGTTTTCTAAATGACTCAATAATATTTGTTAGTTTATTTTCGTAGCTGCCGTTACGCCCTTTCATCTCCGAAAGAACGACAGGTCATTTTGCCCTTCTTTTCCGTTAGTTGTGTCTGTGTGTCTTTGTTTTGAGGTTCACCCTCCAAAGGAAGCCGGTCATTTTCCTCCTTCTTTTCCGCCCTTTTTTCAACTGTTGCGTGCTTTTCCTTCTTCTGTTCCGATGTTCATCTCCGAAAGCACAACAGGTAGTTCTTTCCCCTCCTTCTTTTCCGTTTCTTTGGGTTGCGTTTTTGGTTTTGATGTTCCCAGGTTCCCACAGTAATGACGGCGCGCGTGAAGGCGAGCACCGTCATGCGGACGTTCGAGGAACGCGTGATCCTCAAGGCCCACCAGGAGCAGACGGTGGTCCTCGAGCTACAGGTACATGCAAAAAAAAAAAAGAAGCTCGCGCGTTTGTTTTGTTTGTGTGTGGTTGAGAGACGATGTTGATGTCTTTCCCGCTAACGCGGCCACCGCCTCGTGCCCTCTTCCTTCTCTCCCTCTATCTATGCTTCAACTTCACAACTTGCGAGGGATTAAAACTGCTCTTTTTAACGGCACATTGGTGCTTCTCTGTCGATCTATCTGTCTCTCTCTGGTAGTTCATTGCTCCTTACCCCCCCTTCCCTCACCCCTCTCACTCGTACACTTTTCCTCGGAGCTTTCACACTCCCCCCTTCCCGGCATTGTACCCGGTCGGACACTTGCACATGTACGATGCACGCGCCCGCCTCTCACGAAAAATGCACGTGCATCGCACACAGGGTTACATCTTTTTCGGCTCCGCCGTCAAGATTCTGTCTGACGTCAAGGACCGCATTGTGTGGGGCACCGACCCCCCCCCGACCCCCAACGCCGGGGCTCCCGCCACCGGCATCTTCGGCAACGTCTACGACGACAGCAACCTTTCCACCAGAACTGTCGGGAACCCGCAGCAGCAGCAGTCATACCTTGAAACAGCCGCGCTTGTCAAGCCCAGCAGCGAAGGGATCATTGCTGCAGGTGCCATGAACCCGCGCGGAGACATCTTGAGCCCGGTGTTCAACAAATCCGGAGCGGCCTACCGTTCATCGTCGGCAACGGCGGCAGCGGAGGCGCCTGCGGCCTCGTCGGTACTGCCCGGGTCGTCACCTCTGCACTGGCGCAGCCCGCGGCAAGCGCGGAGACAGTCGTTGCGGGAGCACACGTCGACATCCTCACAGCAGCAGGGGGGGGCTTCTTCCCAAGGAATATCATCACCCCTAGCTCAGTCGCTCGCGAGAACAAGGTCAGTCGGGGGAACGACGACGGCGACGAGCACCGGGGTCCCTGGGGCCGGCGGCGGCCGGGGTCGACCCTTCCACAGAGCCGGCGGCCTGCTGCCAGGCGCGAGCGAGCAGCAGGAGACTGAGAAGCAGCAGCCGGCTGTGCTCGCAAATGCCAGCAGCAGACACTACGGTGGTAGCGGCGGGGCTAACTTCTCGGTCCCCGCAAGAGAGACGACTGGCTATGGGGCGATGGAGGAAGGCGGGGCCGGCGGAGACGGGGGCGTGGGCAGCAGCGGCAGAGCGACGGCGGGGGTGCGCGTGCGACGCCCGCGCGGGACCAGCCTTGGGGAGGAACCGAGGGTCGGAGAGGGTGCTGTGCAGGCATACATGTCGGTGAGAACTACCGTACGGGGGTCAGAGATGCACTGACAGCCCATTAACCAAGGGGTTGTTGGTGTCGGAGGAAAAGGGGAGTACGGGGACAGATAGAGAGACGTAGACCCAATAAGCAAGAGAACAAATGTATTCTTGTGGGCAGAAAAGAACGTGGCACTCATTGCGTGTCGAGCGTGTATTGCATCCTACCTTGGAAGGATGTTGTCGTGTTGGTCCGCAGTCATCGAACCTCCCTTGCCCGCCCTCACTTGGGTGTTCCATCTCTCCTCCCTCGCTCGTGTGGACCTGGGAAACAGCTCTGGGCAAACGGCGGCGGGTCGTTGGCCGACAGCCCAGGCCTTACCGGCATGACGGGCGGCGGCGACAGCAGCCCCGGGTTCTCCGGCCGCATGGCTCGGTCTTCCTCGGTGGTGTCTCTCCTACCGGCCTCCGACGAGCGGACCCGACGCGTCATCTTGGACTTCTCGAACGTCGTGAGTGGGCTGCCTGTCTGGAAGCTTCGAATATAGTGGAATATTTACGGCAGCGTGGATGGTGTGCCTGTATGATGTCTCGAACCCCCGTGGACTCTTGCAGCAGCGTGAGTCGCGTGCCTGTCTGGTATTTCGCACCCCTTAGGTTCTTATTGCAGCAGCATGAGTCGTGCACCTCTCCGACACCTCGAACCTCGTGGGTTCTGTGCGGCAGCGTTTGATAGGGAAGAACCCAGAAGGGACCCCCGATTCCAGCGCGAACAGCTAGCTCCCCATAGCCTTTGGGCTGCGGGTGCTCTCTCTTCCTCCGTGCAATAACTGATTGCGACGGACTTCGTCGAACTACTCCCGGCACAATGGCGTTGTGGTAGGAGTTTTCCGTGGAGAAAGCGCACACACACCCGGGACCGACATTTTTCAACACCCGGCTACTGTAATAGATGGAGAGGCTACGGTTTTGGGTGGATCATGTGGTGTAGCAACGGCGGTCTCAGGACCTCACTCCAGGACCCTGAAATGGCCAAAGAGAGCATTTCAAGGGAGAGAGACCATAAGTTCCGCATGCATGCATCATTACTCAGACCTCTTCGACAACAGCCTCTCGATCGGTACCGCTTCGGTGGACGCGGTTTAATGGCGGTAGTGTACGCCTCGCAGGTGGCTTGCGGAACGTAGAGAAGGTCTCCGGCCGTGGATACGGTTTGCACTTTGATTATTGATAAGCACTGAAATGAGTTCAAACAAGAGGAGTGAGCTCGTGTGGTGGCACGAGCTCAAGACAAGGGGCCAATCGAAGCCGAAATCAAACCTTTAGACGAGTCAGCGCTGACTAGTCTAATGGTTTGATTTCGGCTCCTATTAAAGCAAATGTACAGAACTCTCAACCACTCTATGGTAACAACGCTAACTCCCAAAATATGCAATTCCATGCAACCGTAACTATTTAACCGTAACATCCCCCCTTTGCATGAACAGCTATTGGTCAGCTGTTACATGATGAACGGTAGCAGGAAGTGCGGGAACCGCAAAGTGACGCACCTCCTTTTGGGAAACTACCATGCGATGCCTTTGAGTGGACTGAACATTCAACCGAATATACCGAGAGGTGAGTAGGTGGTAACCCAAATAAAACCCACTCCTCTCGTAATTCTCACTGCGCCTTGAACCACGGCCCGACATCGACTTGCGCGAAGGTAAACCCGGTGTCCGGGGAAAACCTTCGCTCCCCATCCCGAATGTAGACCAACAACCGAAAACACCAAGTGACATTCGGACGTAAAATACTCTTAAATATAAACGTCCCTCGCTTGGTGAATTCACCCCGGCCCTCATCACCTACAGCGTGGGAAAACCTGGCCACCCAGGTAAAAGCCCATTGCGCAAAGCAACTACAACACCAAACCTGCACTGCAGCTAGACCGCAGGTCGCTGCAGTGGCACTCGAACACCTCGAAACCGTGCTCAGCCAGACCGAACTCCCAGGTATCAGCCCTATCAGCTCAAGACACCACATAACCGCGCGCATTCACTCCGTGGCTGAGTCCACCACACGCCTACGAACATCGGCGCAAACAGACAGAAACAACCAATGTATCGCACTCGGGTACCCGACTATAGACGATCGCTTCATCCATGACTCACAGCATCTAAACCTAAGGGGCGAGCAGATGAACGGACGCATGCCTGCAAGCAGCCGAGAACGGCTGACTCCAACACGCGTAACAGGTGGAAACCCTACGCACGACCGGTACCGTCAACGCAGTCACAATGGCGGGCGGGGAAATAGCCCTGCGGCGGCACTGTATCGCCAACTCCCGGCGCAGCCCTCGCCATGTTCGCAGTCATAGCGGCGGTCCTCGATGTGTGCGGCTCCGGTGGAGGTCAATCTAGCATCCTGGGGCAAAAAATGAAAAACGTTGAGAACGGGGGTCGACGCACAGTCACCACAGCGGGTGTGGGCGTAGATCCTCCGGTGGCACTGCAGCTCCAGCTCCCAGCGCAGCCATCGCTCTGTTCGCGTCATAGCAGCTGTCCCGGATGTTTGCGGCTCCGGCGGTGGCCAAGCCAGCAAAGGCTCCAAGTCCTCCATCAAAAAAGAGAGACGTGAAGGACACAAGTCGCCACACCTGGAAAGGCACGTGGGCAGAGGGCAAGGCGGCGGGAGCAACACTACCAAAACGCGAACGGTCAGCATCGGAGTCGGAACGCCAATGATGTCGCTGGCTCAGGAGTTGCCGTTGAAACACGCCTCCAGCGAAAACGACGTGACGCTGAACGTGAACAGAGTGGCAGCAAAACAAACTTGACCACGCGTCAGCACGGCAAGAGACGTGCAGTACGTGGGTTGGCAAGCAAGCCACCAACACAACCACAACAACGTCAGTGGTAGGGAGAACCCCTAACGGCGCCTGGCATTACAAAAAAACTTGGTGGAGCTTGCGGCGGCATGTGTCTAACAACAAGGGAGGACGCGTCAAAACGGGGGAGTGCCACACGTGGACACAAGGCAGCCCTGTCGAAAGTCGGGGCACATTCCATCGGCGGGGAGCGGAGTGTGCACTACAGCAACAAACTAATGTGAAACAGCTGAGCAGCAGAGAGAAAATGTAGATCCGGGAATAGAGCTTAACGAAGCAAAGCACCGGACAGGGTAAGAACAACAGGCAACGATAACGGTGAGAGCGTGAACAAACTGATGGCTTGCAATATGTGAAAATGCAAGGAAGCAATGTCACGCACGTTTGTTTCTGCTGCTTGACGCGTGATCAGCAGTTACACACATACCATTTCACGGAAAATGTATCGCATGTATTACGTGCAGCAACCAGAGTGATCGCTACACACGTTTCATTGCCCTCAGAAAGACAGGCAGTGGTACAGGTGCCAGGAGCGGCAGCTACACCAATACTAGACGCCGGTGCAGCTGCCAGGAGTGGCAGCTACAGAAACACGAGAATCAGTGCAGCCGCCAGGAGTGGCAGCTACACCGATACCAAACATCAATGCAGCCGCCAGGATGGCAGCTACCAATACCAGACGTCCATGCAGCCGCCTAGCGGCACCTCCCCCCTTCGGGGGTGCGGCCATGAGTGTTTCCACCAGGGTCAGCCGCTGCAATGTTCCCTCCACCCGCCAACCACAAACGTTCCACAGCCGAAAAGAGAACTGGTCGGGAGACGAGTGAGCCGATAGCAACCGTGCACTAAACGAAGCGGGCAAGGGGGAAATGTAAAAAAATACATCGGAAGGAGAGCGGGAAAAAATCCAAGTACAACACAACAATGTGGAAAGCCGCAGCCGTGCAGTGGGAAAGGTATCACGGGAAGTGACACGAATTGTGACCATGGCCACGGGCCAACCACAAGCTACCGTAGGCACCAAGTTATAGTTAGTCGAGCGCAAAAAATATCGGAATTAGGCCATGCGCGGTGACACACGCATCGCATGAGGGAAGCATGTTCGCCTGGGAAAATCGCAGCAGACATTAGACTCTTTCGGACTCAAAATATTTGCGAAATATGCAGGGTCCACGTCGGTACCGGTTTTATAGGTGGATACAGGCGCGGCGGTATTTCAATGTGGCGGTACTTTTTTCGGCGGGTCCCGGTACGTACTTCGTTTTCCGGCGGGTCTGCCTCTGGCGGTTCCCGGTACTGCCAAATATGGCGGTATTTTCTGGCGGTACTGAAATATGGCGGTACTGCCTTTGGCGGTTCCCGGTACTGCCAAAAAATAGTGGTATTTTTCTGGCGGTACTGAAATATGGCGATACCGCCTTCGGCGGTTCACGGTGCTGCCAAAAATGGCGGTATTTCTACCGAAAAGGAACATGACAGAACCAAAAAGAAGAAAAGAAAAAAAAACTGTCACACTTTTATCTAATTTTTTACTTTTATTTTCCGAACATGACCCAACGAATCCATCTCTATCTAAGAAAAGAGCCTAAGATAGATTAGCAATGAATTCAATACATCGTACGTAGAAAGAAAGAGAAGAAAAAAGAGAAAAAAGAAATGGAGAAGAGGAACAGGACGCCCAGCGAGATTTGAACTCCCGTCTGTCGAAATGTATCCCCTCTGTTCACCCCGATACACCGCCTGCCATGAGCACCCTCACGGCGGATATGTATGTGTCACGGTGGTTCGATTATGGCGGTACTTGTTGTTGTTGTCTTCACATTATTACTGGAGTACGGCGGTACCATTTTGGCGGTACTGCAGTGCGGCGGTACTTTTTCGGCAGTGTACTGAAATATGGCGTTTATTTTTAGGCGGTTCCCGGTTCTCCGTTTTTTGGCGGTACTTTTTCGGCGGTCACGCAAATGGCGGTACTTTTTAGGCGGAAGGCGGTTTTCGTTTTTCGGCGGTACCGCCTTCGGCGGTTCCCTGTACCACCGAAATGTGGCGGTAACTACCGCCAGTACCGGGACGGCCCACCACGGCGGGAAAAAAAACGAGAATTTTCCCGACGTGGACCCTGGAAATAAGGAAATATATAAGCCATCGTTCTCAGGATCGTTCCTGACAGTCTCGCCAGAACCCAAGATAAGAAAAAAATAATCAGATTTAACAGCGGAGGGAGGCTCGTTTTGTGGAAAATTGTTGACGATTTTCGGATTTAGCAACATTCTTCGATTTAACACATCAGGCACCACACCCACGCACACACAGCAGTCCGCGCGGCCAAAGAGAAGGCCAGCGCCCAGCGAAAAGGCCCTGGAGTTGGCGCGGCACCAACAAGAGGGAGGCTGCACGGTCAGAAAGCCAAGTTGTTGGGCTTGTTTTCGCGGCTTTAGGTCAGCAACACCCGCCCATCACACACAGGTTGAGGCAAGGGGGAACGGGAGAGCGAAAACGCGGAGACAGCGACAACCCATGACGTAGAGGTGGTGGCAGCACCGCCAACAAAGAGGAGCAGACAGACAGGAGGAAGAGCACGCAGTGGCCTCCTGGTCTAGACGGGCGCGTCCTTCCCCGCGCAAGATTATTCTGTGGTTCTCTGCTAGCATTGAGAGAGAGTTCGACGAGATGTGACCCCGTCCCAAAAACCTCTCCTCTCCCGAACGCTTGAAATAAATGCGACACAGCAATTCGTGCAGAGGCTGCCGGCCAGCATAATTACTCCCTCCCTGTCTACGTTCTGGTGCAATTTCGTGTGCTGGGGTTGAGGGGGGCGACACAGACACGCACACGCATTGCATGCACGCACACACTCAACAGCAGACAGAGCAGTGTGTGAGAGCGGTGCAGCTGTCACGCAGCGCACCACAAAAAAGCAGTACCACCTGCGGACAGGGAAGTTCGTTGGGTGGGAGAGGATAACTGTTGCCCCTCAGCCAATCATGTGAAGCCGCTTAAATCTAAAAATACTTCCCTGCACGAAGTTTCCAGGAAACTTTCTTAATTCTAAATCTGCTTCCTTGGAAAAATTTGGAGCCCCAGTTGCCCCTGTCCGAATTTGTGTGTTGGAAAGAAAAACAAAAATACCTGCACATTTTAGGATTAGAGTTAGCTGAGAGTTAGGCATGGGCTTGCACGCCTGAACATGCCCCAATGTTCAAGCCGCGTGGTTGCAAACAATGAAGGAGGATGAGGCAACGTCAGCATGAACACTTGAACACTCAGAAATGGGAACGATTATTGGATACAAAAAAGTGTTCTCAAACAGGAAACAGAAACATATATAAAACAACACGTCATAAAAAACGAGCATACACAAAAAAAAAAGGAAGGAAGGAGGCAATGCATGCACGTACGAAGCGCACAGCAAAACGCGCGATAAAGCACAGGCAACGCACAACGCGCGGCGGACGAGGAGCGAGAAAGCAGCCAACGCGCAACGCGCGGCAAACGAGAGTGGAAAGGGCAGGCAGCACACAACAAGCGGCGCTGTGGGAACCCGAGTTCGATTCTCGGATTGGGCACCATGCAAGAAGAGATGAAGACGCTACGGTTTAGGGTGGATCATGTGGCTAGTTGAGGTGTAGCAACGGCGGTCTCAGGGCATCGCTCCAGGACCCTGAAATGGCCGAAGAGAGCAATTCAAGGGAGAGAGACCACAAGTTCCGCATGCATGCATGATTACTTAGACCTCTTCGACAGCAGCCTCTCGATCAGTACCGACTTCGGTGGACGAGCTTGAATGGCGGTAGTGTACGCCTCGCAGGTGGCTTGTGGAACGTAGAGAAGGTCTCCGGTCGTGGATACGGTTGGCACTTTGATTATTGATAAGAACTGGAAGCTCAAACTGGAGTTCAAACAAGAGGAGTGAGCTCGTGTGGTGGCACGAGCTCAAGACAAGGGCCCCTGCAAATGTACAGAACTCTCAACCATCCTATGGGAACCACGCTAACGCCCAAAAAAAGCAACTCAATGTAACCATAACTATTTAGCCGTAACATTACCTCAACGAACGCCTGCCGCCTATGTCGCCGCTGCCCCCCGCCACTTTTGGCGAAGTAGGAAGGAACGATTGGCCATCGGTGATCGGTCCTGTGGGAATAAATGCTACGTCCTCTCGAGGACGCGTGGGCTAACAGCCACAGTAAGGCATGCAAAACCAAAGAGTAACCCCCCCCCCTGCTCGTCTCCCCGGGAAACCCTGCCACACAGGTTGGCGTTGATGCCACGGCGGCGCGGTCGTGCTTCTTGATGCTCAAGATCGTGCTTAGGACCAGCGGGGCCGACGTGGTATTCTCGGGCGCGACCCGCAAGGTTCAGGCGCTCCTTCGCTCTCACGGGGTCATCACCGACGACGACCCGGTCTTCAACAGGTGCAGGCAGGCGGTGTACATGCGTTCGTGTGTGCGTGCGTGTCGCGTGCTTGTTTGTGTCCTCGATGTTTTCTGTTTTGAGGGTGGCTGCAGTACGGGGTTGTTCACTTCGTTTTTGAGTTTCCTTCGGTGTGTTTCTGTCTTGGGATGCCTCGTTTGCTCTTGTTTTGTGGTACTGGTGGGGGGGCGTCGCGTGTTTACAGGGACACGGGTGGAAGCGCCTGCCTGTTTCTTCGCGTTGTGTGGTTTGCTTTTTCTGTCGGGCTTCTTTGTCTGGTCTCTACCTCTCTCCCTCTCTCTCCTATTCTCTCCTCTTGATGGTCATTACGGTAGAGCATGTGTTCTTAAGCCTTTCCCGAGAAAATGGTTTTTGAAGCGAGCCGGAAAATTATGTTCGATGCCTCTCCGGGAACAACTATCACGAGTCAGCCTAGAGGGCAACAGCTATCCACCGCATCGCAATCTTGTCCGTTTTTTTTTGCCCAGTGCACTGCAATGAACGACCCCCCCCCCCAACCCCCCACCCCATCACGCGCACGCACCAAACCACTCTAGCCTCGACACCGCACTGGAGTGGTCCGAGGAGATGATGCTGGACGAGCGGAGGGAAGAGATGCTTCTTCGCGGCGGGGGGGCCACGGCTTCCCCGTCCCTCGGCGGCTCCCTCCTCCGACAACAAAAGCAGCAGGCGTGTTTGGCGGGGACGACTCCCCCCCCCCTCGCCCTGACGACCCAGGCCCAAGGCCGACACACGACGGAAGAACCAGCGGGAGGTGGGGGGGGAATGCCGCCGGCCGGGAGCAATAACGAGGAGGGAGAGGGGGAACAGGGCCGCCCCGCCGCCGCCGCGCCGGAGGCGGAGGCGGAGACGGCCGTGTTTCTCGGGGACCACGAGGACTACTACCTCCGCGCCGGAACTCTACGGAGACGGAGCTCGTTTAGCACCCAGATCTCCGACCGAGGTACAAACAGTCGCCTGGCTCCGATATTAGCGGTTACCTAAGAGGGTCGACATCAGGTGTCACGGACTCGACCCGCTATCGCATAGTTGGGTAACCTCATATTCCGAAATGAGCGGGAGCTCCGCAATAAGCGGGTCAAGGGCCTTTGTGACACCACCCTCTTTCATCGGAGCCACTATTGTAAGTACAGTTGTTGAGTGTGCTTGCTGGCAGGAGTGGGTGTGGCAGGGGAGTTTGGGTGGGTTTTGGGGCGCGCAGTTGGGCTTGGGTGACATGGTTGGGCCTCGCTTTGTGGGTGCGCGCGTTCGAGAGAGAGGAGTGCCTGCTGATGTTGATGTTGGTCATGCTCGTCGGGTGGAGTTAGGTAGTCTAGATGTAGCTGTTTCGTTCTCTCTCCCTCTCTCTCCCTCTCTCTTTATCCCCCTGTGTCTCCCCCCCTCTCTTGTCATGGCCCCACTTCCCCGTATACTCAGTCGTTGCCCAGTACCCGTCTTGCTTTCCGCGCATGATTCGCTGTCCTCATGGCAGCTCACCCCTTCCCCGGTGTCCTGATTTCCACCCCTCCCGCTCTGGCTGTCGCCGTGTGCAGGCTTGGACAACCCTCTCGTTGTCGGAGATGTTGGATCTTTGCAGTCTATCCTGGAGGACTACTTGGAAGTTGACCGTTACCAGGTGCGGCGATTTTGCTTTTGGTGTCTCGAGCGTGCGGTGCGATTTTCTTTCTCGCTTCGTACCAGTCGCGGGTCTGATCGCTTAGCTGCGCAGCATGTTGAGGGGGTCACGTTTTTGGGATTGGTATTACTTGCATCTTGCGCCGTTCTTCTGGCCGATTTCACCGTGTGTGGCCTCTGTTATTCCCGGCCGACCTTGACTACGACGTGCGGGCGGCAGTGCCTTGTGACTACGATGAGTTTTGTTTTCCCTGACAATGCCTTTCAAACGGATTCTTCTTGTCGCTTACTTCTTTTTCCTCCCCCAGTCGCATCCAACCAAGAGCTCTGGAACTGTGATTTGTAGCTCGAGCGCTGGTCACGAACCCTCTGTAATATTTGCCCTGCTCGCGTCGCAAACGCCTACTTTTACGCGACGCGCATTGTTTCTCGTGTACGTTTCATTTCGTTTCGGTTCGAGGTCTGTTACCGTTGGCGTGTCCGATCTCTTCTCGAACTGGAGCAAAACGAAGCTTATTTATTCCGCTCCCGCCTTCTTCGGCCACGCGCGCCGGTTTCCCAGGCGCGGTTGCTCGTGCACGTTCCGCCCACCTTTGTGTTTCTGAGGAGCTCTGGCCACGTGAACGAGCATGAAAGAGCGAGCCTGAACTGTGAATGCACATACGTGGTAGAAAACGACGAAGACGACGACGAGCGAACAAGACAAAGACGTCATCCACCGCCACAAATATTCAAAAGATGAACCGTTTGCTTGGTCCCCCTTCGCTGAATGGCGCTACGGGAGCCTGCATCAAGTGTGGCAGGTGGCATCATTTGCAACGGGAACATTCCTGTCTCACACATTGGTTTCAAGGATCTCGAAAATATACTGGGAAACGGAAACCTGAAAAACCGAAAACCGAACCGTACGGAAGCCTGCAAAGAGCCGCATCGCTTGCAATGGGAACGTATTCCTAGCTCGAACACTCCGTTTACGAATAAAACCTGTCTGGGAAACGGGAAACTGTTACCGTGAACCGGACCGGAACGACGTACCACCTATCTCCCCCAGGCCCCGGAAAGCGTCCGCAGCGTGCTTGGGGAGGCCAAATCTTTCTTCCGGCAGGAGCGCGTGGCGGCCGGAGCTGTGCTGGCTGACCACGGCAACCCTTCCTCTTCTTCCTCCTCGCCCGAGAAGGTTTACTTCATCGGGTCCGGTAGCGTGGAACTGCAGGTGGGCGGCATGCAAGGCTGCCTGTTGAGAAAACTTTAATTTCGTCGTACGTTTTTGGCAAGAGGGATAAAAGGAATATATGATGACCCGTGTGCTGCATCGGCTGCCGCAGCAGCGGGCACGGAGGAACGAGGAGCGCTTTCAAGGGCTTTGCAAGCGCTCGGTCGCTCGCTGCCCGCCGCCATTAGATCAAAGAGATCGACGTGTGTTTTGGAATCTGTGTTTCCTGCGGAAGAAGGAAGACTTTTCGTGCTGTTATGTTAGGGACCCCCGTGCTTTTCGCAGGGAGTGCTGAGGGGGGTGTCACGAATGTTTTTGGGACAACGACAGCCTGTACAAGGTTTCATGAGTTGTACCTCAAACACAAGCACGCAACGCGTTTTTGTCCACCTTCCCACGACAAGATCAAATGGTAGCGTGGGCTGCCGCGCAAGCGTAATGCTGCTGTTGTCGTTCAAGCACAACGCGTCCTTTTCAGGAGCGCTTTATTAGTAGGTTAGGTTTTTCCGTTCGCATTTTTGGGGTTCTTTTTCCGAAACCAGAGATTCCCTTACCCTTTTTTGCACCCTTTTTGTATTTTGACGGTGACCCAGCAGGGGATCCCCCCCCCCCGCTTTTTGTGGTCCGGTCCAGTGGGAACAGTGTTCCGTCCTCTGGAGGACGGGTGGTCAATGGTTTAACAGTTACTGAAGGCATTCAAAACATGATTACGCCCCCCCCCCGCGCCCTGCTTCTGGTTCATCCTTGTGAAATGTAGCCGGGGCCGGCGGAAACCCGGCATATTGCTCCGTCCCGGTAGTGTAGGGACGCGAGGTCAATGGTCTCACGACTACGCCATGCGTTTTACATGAGTACACCCAGACCCCCCCCCCCCCATCCTACCCAACACCACACCCTACCCGTGGTGAACATGCCTTCCCGTGCCCCAGATCCCCGGAAAGTGCGGCCCCAGACGCCTCCAAAAGGTTTGCGCTGGAGGCACCTTCGGCGAGGTGGGTTTTTTCCTCAGGACCCCGCAGGCGTTTCGCGCCGTCACCAGGGAGCCGTGCCACCTGCACACGCTCGACAGGACGGGCATGGCGGCCATGCAGGTAGGCCTGTCTTTTGGCGTTTTGGTGCCTTTGTTCAGATCAACACCGTCCTTCCAATATTTGGCGGTAACTTCGCCCCGGCGAGCGGCAGACTCCGTCAGACATACCCTCATTCATGGTCGTTTCGTGTGCGCCTTTACGGCAATTTCGCCCCCCCCCGCCTGGGTTTGGGTTTTCGTCGCTTGGCAACGACGTCGGAAAACAAGCCGATGACTTCGTGAGCTCGGCAACCAGGTTACCGCTTTATTTTTGCAAATTGTTGTTTGTTGGGTTAACCATGAATGGTGGTCGAGTAGATTATGTTGAGCGGGGTCGAGAACCGTCACTCCGCGCAAAAGGGGATACTCGCACCACGTTGAATTAATATGGTCAAGCACCCTCGAGGCAGTTACACAGTGCTTACAACTGTCTCAGGAAGTGAAAGCACCAGAAAATAAATGAAGTCATGCGCAGCTGCCATCCGTACGCAAGGACGTAATCACGAGATGACGAACACCCTTAGCAGGATGCAGCGCACCCTTCATGCGACTCGCCTAGTACCTCTCGGCGCTTCGCGCTTGGTGATGTGAGAGCCTGGTCCGGTGAGAACCCGGCGTGCTCCGTTGCGGCTTTGTAGGGATGCGAGGCCAATGGCCTAACGACTAAGGCATGCACGACTACGAGTACCCCCCTGACCTGCTCCCTTTCCGCTTTACCCCCCCGGTGTCTGCCATCGGGGTTGGGTTTTCGTCGCTTGGCGACTACGTTGTAAAACAAGCCGATCACTTCGTGAGCTCGGCAGCCAGGTTACCGCTTTCTTTTTTTTGCCTTTGGGTTCATTTTTGCGGTAACTACAATGGTGGTTGAGTAGATGATGTTGTGCGGGGTCGAGAACCCTCACTCCGCGCAAAGGGGATGCTCGCACCTCGTTGTGTAAACTTAGTCGAGCACCCTCGAGGCAGCTACACCGTGCTTACAACTGTCTCTGGAAGTGAAAGCACCAGAAAATAAGTTTAGTCATTAGTAGCTGTTATCCGCATGCAAGAAAGCAAGCACAAGATGCCTAGCAGGATGCAGCGCACCCTTCATGCGACTCGCCTAGTACCCCACGGCCCTTCGCGCTTGGTCATGTGACAGCCTGGTCTGGTGGAAACCCGGCGTGCTCCGTTGCGGCTTTGTAGGGATGCGAGGTCAATGGTCTAACGACTACGGCATGCACGGCTATGAGCACACGCACACCCCTTCTGTCCTGTCTGCTGAACACCCCTCCTGTGCATGCAACCGGCACGCCTTTCGTGTGCATCTTTGCGACTCGACCGACCGCAGCACCAAAACCCGGGGCTGTGCATACTGGTCCAAAAGGCCGTGATGAAGTCAATCTGTCTAGCGGCGTCGCTCTCCATCGAGTCGGCGCACCTCGGACCGGTGGACGATGGCCGATCGGTGAGGCTTGGCAGGATTGAGGAGGAGCGCTAGAGCTGTCGAACGAAATGGCGATACAGATCCCGATTATGCAGACCGGTTGAAATCACAGAGGTGCGGAGAAGGGGAGGGAGGTGCTTGCCAGGAGGAGTAGGCAAGAGTCGCCGCCCGCGTCGGACTAGACCGGGTTTTGTGAAGCAGCGGGCACGAGAATTTGTTCGTTCGGGCATCGACAGCCTCTCTCCTTTCGCGTAGTAGGGTTCACTGGACGAATGGCTTCTTGTTTGTTTCATGAGTTAACCGCACGAGCGTCACATATCCCGGAATGAATTTCTCGTGTTCGCGCAAACACAGAAGGGGAAGCTAGAGTGCACGTGTGCGCACTGGTAGATCAAGGCTTCATGTTTCGATTCGAAGAAAACATGTGTGTGGGCGTCTGACGCCCGTCTCCGAATAGAGCAATACGGGTTTGAATTAGAACGAAGGGTTGGGCTGTGCTTGCCAAATTGCCGGGGAGGGAGTAGCAGAACGAACTTTTATGAAAACATCACCGCAACAGGCATAGATCCAGAAGGCTCCGCCACGTATTGTTCCCCGAGGCTCGTTTCGTGATACTTTTTTTATGGGTCAACCCAATATTGATGACAGAGTAGTACAATGGGTTTTAGAGAAGGATTCTTAGCTAAGCACCTGGCGTTAATGTTATCATTATACAGACGGCCGTCTTCCAGTTATTTTCTTCGCGCTGCATTCACAGGTTTTCAGCTTTCAACCTTGTGAGCACCCCTGTGAGCCCTAGGTTGTAATGTAACTTCACAGGTTCTAGGATTGTGTTGGTGGCGAAACGTAGTACAGCAGTGGATGCGACAAAAAGGAACATGTGGCACACGCGACGTGTCACCTGACGTATACGGCTGTTGTTTTCGGACCCGAACTCGGGGTTTCCCAGATTCGCGCGACATTTGCCAAGTACTACATAACAGTAGTGATTTAGCAGAGATTATTATTCGCCGGCAAACGGGGGTCTTCATATCGCCTTTGTATTTCGTGGAAGACATGAGCGTGTGTTGGTACATTAGTACATCTCTTGCGATGATAAATAGGGGAGGGAATCTCGACCAATTGTTGTAGTTCCAGCTGCAAGTGGCCAAAGTGAAATGATCGTGGCCGAAGGACACGCAATGTGGGAGATTTCATGATTTTGTCCACGAGTTCGTGTCCCACACAAATCTACGTCAATGGTTTTGTCGGTAAGGCTTCTGGGAGGTCGTTGGACATGCAGACCAAGCGGAAGTGGTGTCTACGAATCGAGCGTGTGCCTACGAAACACTGATGTGATGTCGTGTGCTACCTCCCTGTACATGCTGAAAGGGTCCGGACTCTACAAGTCCAGAAAGCATGTACGTAGCTTCTTTTCGCATCAGCTTCGCAAAGTCACGTTTCTGGTGAATACTGCTGTTGATCGACTACGGCCGGAAAACAGAGGGGGGACATGTCCAACTATTATGCGAAACGAAAGGCTAACAAAAAATGGCTGCAGCTTCAAGGGGGATCTTTCTCGTGGTTTGGCTCCACCGAAGCCTCGACGACTCATCTACGAAGCGGCCTCGAATATCCGCTAGTCGGCTTCACGTTGCGCAGATCCATGTACAAAAAAGACAGCCTCGAGCACTCTTGAGCCGAGCCGACAAACGATGGGCATCTACTGCTGTATTCCAGGGGCGAGGGTTCAAGACAACCCAGGTTTTCTTATCGCGTTGTAGTGGTACAGACTACATGGGCCTCATTGCGTGAGCTGAGGTTTAATTTTGAGGGCACAAGGCAGATCAAGAGCAGAAAGGGAACGTTAGGGTTCATACAATGCGAGTCGAAGTCACCGAACCACAGTCAGTTGCGAGAGTAAGCCGCGACGCAGTCGCTCTTATGGTGGCGCTATTATCGTGACATGCGACGTTACCTGACTCCGCACCGTTGGCTTCGTACCGTTGTGGGAAAACAGTGAGAGTACGTAAGTATAGCGCCGCTTTCTCGGGCTCAGAGAAGTGGTTGCGAAGTCGGGGCGAAACCCTCAGGAGTACTCGTTCACTCGTTGCGGATTGGAGGCGCGACGGCCTTAGCATCAGGCGGAGATATCGCGGAACAAGGAGTGGTCTAGCGACAAGTAACGTGGAGATCGGATACCTGCCCGTGAGGCTTTGAGGCGATTGTATTCCCAAGCTCTAGCTTGGGTCTCAGTCGATCAAAAGTCTTTTTTTTCCGTCTGTGGAGTTTTCAGTAGCATAGCGGACCCCTTGCCCGACCGGGTCGAAAAGGCCGATCTCAGCCCACACTGCGAACCTCCGAGAACTACCAGCAGTTCTGGGTAGCTGAGACGATTTCAAGACCTCTCACAGTCGTTTGAGCATCTATCGCTTGCTGTGGGGCGATAACCAGTTTCTCCGTCGACAAGAAGATCTGCGTTACATCGTCACATCGGAACGACCAGATTGGTTGACTTGTCGTTGAGGGTCCTCTTTTTATAGATCTTTTTGTATAAGAGTCGTCTTCATTTTTTTCGCCGCCCGCGCCAACCCTTCTTTTTACAGATCTTTTTATATAGAGTCGTCTTCTTTTTTTCGCCGCCCGCCCCAAGCCTTGCTTGCTTCTCTCGTGTCCCGCGCCAAGCCTTGCTTGCTGGCTACGCTTCTCTCGAGATGCTGACCGACCTCAGCACACAGCTGGACATTCTGTGTACATACAGCAGGAGCTGCTTTTGTTCTGTTGTTGCAACTTTCTGCATGGATGGCTCTTTTGTGGTGCGAAAATTAGCATTTATTGTTGTTGTTGATGTGCGGACGAGAGGACGAGAGTGGTAGGCAAAAGCAGTACGTACCTGCAAATCTCCGGCAACTACCAGCAGTTCTGGGTAGCTGAGACGATTTCAAGACCTCTCACAGTCGTTTGAGCAGCTATCGCTCGCTGTGGGGCGATAACCAGTGATTTTGTGATTTTCTTCCTTAGTCTATAGTGACCGTTGTACACATGCGGTGGCTGCTGTTATGCTCGGAAGATGCTGCAAAGGTCATAAGGTTATCGTCTCTGTCGCTTGGGCTGCACGCCGTGCTCGCGTAGGAGATGCGCATTCCTCATTTTTTCTCTGTGCCGATATCCATGAAGAAAAGCAACGGCAGCACGGTTGAAGATACAGACAACAGACGGTCCGCCATACCCTTTTTTTTCTTCTCTTACATGCATGGATGGGTGGTAAAGCATCGCAAGCGTGTTGCTGCCTTACTTACCTTTAGTGTGCTGCGTAGTCGTAATTTGAGCGATAAGGGGTAGATGGCAGGACAACAATCTTATTTGCGTAGTGAGGTTTGACAACTGGTCGTTCGTGGAACGGTGCGCGTCTATCGCGACGGCAAGCGTATTGAGAAAATAGTTCGTCCGTGGTGCTTCTCGTCATCATTTTCTATTTCGTTGTCACTTCATACTTCATACCACAAGTGATGAAAGAGAGTCTCCACAGTTAGTTCGGAAACGGCGACTATATTTGGTTTGTTGCGTTTGTTGTTGCTGAGCACACATCGGATGTCGTCGTTCGTTACAGCCTGCGGTGGGCCACAGGGACGAGAGTGAGTGTCTTCGGTTAGGGTCTCGAGAGTTAATTAATGCCTTCTCTACGCTTTCTTCTGTTGAGTCTACGTAGTAGTAGCACCTGTCTCTCCTTCTCGCCTATTATCGCCGTTGGGGTCCCAACAACATCGAACGTCAACCGCAATCGTTTTTCTTCTTGCTGAGTAAGAGGCTATTTGTGTAGTACGTACCCGGCTGCTGTATGTGAGGCGATGGGCGCTGCCTCTTTACTTGAAGCAACGGGGGCATGGCCCCTATAATGTTTGCTGCATGCTGTGCTATGTGACAGCTTCCAGCGGTTCAGAGCGGCGACGGTGGTTTTCGTATGCTCTCTTTTGCCACCTCCCTGAAGCCTGTCGCGTCTGGCTCACTTGTCTTTGTCGTCCCTTCTTCTTTTTCTTTTTTTTCTTAACATAGTCTATATTTTATTTTTCCGCTTGCTTTTTGGGGTCCGCCGGTCATCCGCCCACCACCCATTAGTTCAGTTTTAAATGTTGTTGTTGTTGTTGTTGTTGTTGTCTTCGCATTAAAAACCGTTCAGATCTCTCTCTACCCAGTACCTTCATATGTGCGTACTGATCCAACACTTGACGCCGGTCGATTCCCGTGGTCACAGGCTAACTTACCCTAAAGAGGTACGCTAAAACAAACTGGCCCCGAAAGGTCCGCAAGTCAATAAAAATCAACGACAGATATTCTTTGGAACGGGGTGTTTACTTGCCATCTCTATGCAAGTTTCACAATTAATTTTGAAGCTTTTCTGAAGCTAGTTGAAACAGTAGTGTCATCGTTCGATATCCGTTCGGTGAGGAATCAATCGCAAATCATGACCCGTCCCCGAGTTGTAGCAGCTTCCGCCTCCTGGGGCCGGCAAGAGTCGGCCTTCACTGCTGTACCTTGTCTGTTTCGCCATGGGAATGGCCGGTTCAAAGCGAAAGAGGGTCCTGCGTGCTGCGCGCCACCACCTTTTTTTTTTTGCGTTTGTTTGTTGTTGTGATTTTCTTCCTGAGTGACCGTTGTTGTACACAACATGCGGCTGCTGCTGTACACATACTTGCGGTTGCTGCAGTATATGCTCGGAATGTGCTGAAAAGAAAGGTCGTAAGGTTATCGTCTCTGTTTTTTTGGGCTGCACGCGTTGCTCGCGTAGGCGATGCGCGTCTCCTACTTTTTTCCAGTGTCGTTGTCGGCAGCACAGTCAGTTGAAGAGACAAACAACAACAGACGGTCCGCCTTGTTTTGTTTTGCTGCATGCATGGTTGGTATGCATCGGCACGCGTGTTGCTTCCTTGCCTTGAGTCTGCTGCGTAGTCGTAATTTGAGCGATAGGTAAGCTAGATGGCAGCACAATCTTAGATACTACGTAGTGAGGTATGATAACCAACAGCTCGTTCGTGCAGCGGTGCGCATCTATGGCGGACGGCAAGCGTATTGCGATA